CTATCTCTCTCTATTCTTTCTATCCTTATTATTATCTTCTGTCTTTTATCTATGTCTTAAATATATCATAATCAGTACATGTTTCAGTTATACACTAGAAAAAAAGTTTAGTGCCCTTAGCTGAATTGTTTAGTTGAGATATTTTTAGCAGCAATTAAATAATTTATTTATGTAACAAAAAATTTAGTTGCTTTTGAAAATAATTTCTTCGTTTTAATAAATAACAAAAATTAAATAACAAAAATATTTATTTATATCAACCAAACAATTTATTCAAACAATTTGTTCAATACATATCAATTCACAAAATTCAATACATATCTAAATTTTTGTTGGTGGAATAAAATTTTGATTCATATAGAACAAAATATTTTTCCTAGTATTCATTATATCACCTTCTTTTACTATTTATTTTATTCTATCCTAATTACTATCATGTTTTCTTCCTCTGAATGAAAAATGTTATTCACGCCGAGTAATCCGACGTTAAACGCGATTAAAGTCTCAATTCGCCGCAACATCCTCGCAGCGCATGAGGAGCGCCCTTTCGAAGTCTTTCGTATCTCCTTCGAGAAAATACATCCCTTGGAAAAAACCGGAGACCGCTTACGTTTCGCGCGAATTGAATTAACTTTACGAGACTGCGTTTCCCGGAACGTTCGCTGCCGTATTAATTATAGTGGTGCAGGGTTGAGAGCAGCATCTGCGAGTGACGGCGTCGTCTCGTACGAGAAGGAGGCAAGAGATAGGGTGCCGGGGTAAGAGGAGTTAGAGAGAGAGAGAGAGAGAGAGAGAGAGAGAGAGAGAGAGAGAGAGAGAGAGAGAGAGAGAGAGACGTTCTGGAGGGGTAAGGAAAGCCTAGAAACCCTCGATGCCGTGGCGAACAATAAAGAAATTCCACGATTTTCAGCGGAATGATAGACCGACCGCGAGAGTGCGCGTTGTCATCTTCGCATACCACCGTTCATTCGTTCGTTCGTTCGTTCGTTCGTTCAACATTGAACGAAGCGCGGGTTCTTCGAGTTAATGAAATCCATCGACGCCATGCCGCGGCGAATCGACATCATCTCGCGCGTGGGAAGCTATCCACTATCATCTGAAAAATTAAAAATTGCGACCCGACGCGCGCTTGTCCATCTCTCTTTCTCTCCCTCTCTCTAGAGGGAGCAAATCAAATTCGCTTTTTTCCCTTGAGATTAAAAATCGCGCAATATGAAATCAATTGTCGATCGACAAGATGATTTTCTGCCAAACGAACTCATAGAAGGGTGCAATTTGAAAGGAACATATCCACTGCTTAAAATATTTATAGTTCGCTTGATTACTTTTTGATATGTTATCAGCTTACTTTTAAGTGCTTAATAATCTCTGAAATAATTTTATTAGACTATATCTCAATAATTATATAGGACGTCAAACTGATTGATAGAAAACATTTTGCAACATTGCTTATCATGCTTGAGATTTTTACAAAATTATTTTGATGATCCAACAAAATTATTTTTAGATCTGTATGTAGTTAAATCAAAATTAAGCAAAATTGTTTCTTCAATTATATATAAGCTATTTTTATTCAAATCAATCTGATTTCATAATCAAAAGAAATATAAATTTCGCAGAAGCCAATTTATTCCATAATCTAAAATACACAAATTTTATTGAAAACCTTGAAACTTCAATTCTCAACCATATTATTTCACTGATGTGCTTAGTTTCATTCGTTTTAGCACGATCGAGGGGATGTGACGGAGGAGATATGAAGACTAATGATTTTGTGGGATGACATGATTGAACTCATTGAACGGTTAAAGCTTCTCGTGAATTAACACGTGCTGCGAGATCGATTGCCAGTTGCCACGAGCAACGTCGATAGGCAAACTATCTCGAAAAAATCGTAACGGGCAGAAGTGACACGAATCAAACGGACCCTGTCCCCTTTTAACGCAATCATGCTTTTTATGTGAAAACATCTCGAGGAGTACAACGGCAATGTTCCTTGCGAGATGCAGCATACATAGGTTAAATACTTCCTTACATTTTATTTCATCTCTTCTCTACGCGACGTTTGACATGAGACTCGACGAATCTATGTGTTTGCTGCAACGCAAAATGGCGAATCGGATTCGAGACGCAGATAGAAGCTAGCTGGGTTCCTCAAAATGGACGGAACTTTCGAACGGATGAAATCACCCCGCAGCCACTGCCTCATCTCGAAGATTAAATTCGCGACAAGACTGCGACGATCTTCGTGGCGAAGACGTCAAGCGGGAGGCCGGGTTCAGATCGTAACTCGCGACGTCCCCGTATATTTGCAGGTAGTGTCGACTCATTGAATTCTATTCATCGAGTACCCGGGTTGCGCATCATTCAATTACGCGTTTTCTCTCAACCCCCGCTCCCTATATACTGAGAAGGAGATGAAACTTTTGCAAAATCTCTCCATTTCCGTACAATGCATTATTTGGCACCTATTGTGTTCGATGACGCTCACACATTTGCTTTGCCATTTGTCGAAAAAAATTATGGATAATTTGATGCATGCTTTATTAAAGTATAAGATAATTTTAAAAAAAAGATTGGCTAAATATGGCATAGCATTTTTAATTAGTTGCAGCAACCAATTTTTAAAAATGTTATGATGTATTTTATCATCTAATTTGTTGTAGCAGTCAATTTTTTCTTTCAGTGTATAGAAATAAGGTGAAATCAGAAGATGAGAAATTAATTCCTAACCTGCGAAGTTTAAAGATCTATAATTAAGTTCTTTTAACCTGTTTATTTTTGTAACTGTGAATGTGCACTGAAAATTTTGTATCTAATGTCTTATACCATCACGTTAAGAAATTAATAGAATGTTAATATAATCTTTTATCCTGTTATATAGATGTCATTGGATGTCAGCTGATTGTAGGATTCAATCACAAGATTTATTCAAGCCGACGAAAAGACGTGAACTATAGCTTGATTATTTATTTTATACACATATTATTCAAAAAGTAATGGAACTGTAAACTGACAGAATAACGTGAGTTACAAGTAAGGAACATCGTCGTTTACTCCTCGTCATCGTTCGTCCTTTGTGAAATTGGATCTTTGTAAAAATGAAGCTAAAATAAACTCCAAATCAAGTTGATTATCAAGATTATCAAGTCAATAAATCCCAAAATGGAACAAACTCCTAGGGGGCGTTAATTGTTTCTCATTCACAAATATTAATCTTTTTTTGATATTACAAATCATACAATGTACTTTACAATAAATGCACGTTTCAATACTTCCACAGATCCACGGAAATATATTTTAAAAAATATTACCTGCGATTTTGATTTTGCCTAGTAATATTACAAAAAATATTTATACACGTGCGTGCGAGTATAACGATAATTTAAATTATCGTTATACTCAATTTGAACGCTAAAATTATTAATAGAGATACTTAGTGAAGAGATCGCTCTCGACGAAGTTGACCCTAGGCAATATTCGATCTATTTGGATCGCTCTCGTTATTTCAATGATAATCTCCTATCTCCAGATTCTCTCACTTCGTTAATCACCCACCATCCATCGCTATATAAAACTTTACGGCTAAAACTGATTAGCGATGATTCCTTTAGCAACAAGTTGCACCTCGTGTGTTTTCCTCAGGAGTTTCCTAAAATCAACAAGTGAATTCACTTCCTGCCTGGAATTTCTATATTGCTTTCGCGTTCGACTCCACAGGTGGCAAACTAGCAATGAGAACGATTTTCTGGGAAGTCCACCGCGCGAAAGGGGTTGGCTCGTTTATTTATCTGCCTCTTAACAAACATAACGCACTCACGCGCAGTGGAAGAATTTCCATCTCGCGTTTCTTCATTAACCAATGTTCAGAACCCGCGAATATCGAAAATAGATGGCGATGACGCGTGTATATATCGGCGCTATCTTTGTTTCTGGAATGTGATAAGAGCCGTTTTAATAAAGAGCCGAAGGGACGTTGACGACTCATATAGAGAATTCTTCGCAATCTTTGCATTCCTTTGTAGCCTCGAAGTAAATTCCGCACGAATCGCACCATTCCCAGGCGGCTGATGTCGGAGAATCTTGATTACGTTCGTGTGTTATGCGTTAAGACGAAAATTATAAACCGATTCATCTTTTATTCCTTTTTACTGTTTCTCAAAAAGCTCTACACTATATTTGACAATGTCAAGAGCGTAGAAACGTATTTAGATACAAAATTGCGAGACAATTCTCAATTTCAACAAATCTCAATTCGTTCTATTTAATTTTATTAACTAAAATTATAGAAGAAGCTTATTTCATTTATTATTATTTATTTTATTTGATAATCACGTAGAATCATAAATTAATTATTGATGATAAAGAATATCTGTACTGACGTGGAATAAGGAAAAAAACAAATAAATAGCTACAGATAGATACTGTCGATTCTGTTAAAGATTGACACATTTGAGAAGGGGTGGATCGCGAGGGAATGGATGATACAGAGACAATATGGGGGCGTCAACAATCGCCTCGGTGGAGGGAGACGAATGACCAGAGTAATGTCGAAATAGGCCACGCGAAAGAGGAATTCATTGGCTGTAAGGTGGGGAGGAACGAGAGAAATAGAAATAACGGACGAAAATGAGAGGAACAAGCAAATAAATTTAGTTATTATTTTAGAAATGGATAAAAAGGGAAAAGAGAAGAGAAGGAGAAGAGAACAAAAAGAAATTAGCTTGCGTGTTGTGTAAAGATGTACGTGTGTGTCAACGTTTTGTATGCGCATGTGTGTATGTGTGTGTGTGTGTGCAATGAAGAGAGAGAAATGTATAGTCAAAAGGCAGGAGGCGGAAGCAGGACTAAAAGAGATGGCGAACAGGTGGGAGGGCGAGAGGACGCGAAGTGCGAAGGGGTGAAAACGGGGAACCCAGTGACCATGCGCTCTGCCGGCGGCTGGGGGCTTCTGGATCTTTTCGAGGATCAAGAAGAGGACGTCGAAGAAGCACGAGAGACGCAGACGGTGGTGGGCAGAGAGAGCGACGGCTCCAGGCCGGCACGAGCGAGGTGAGATGCGCCCTTATCGCCCTTATCGCTCTCAATCGTCCGTGCAGTATCTATCGGAGTGCCCTGACACTCCTCGCCAACCGGATCGCGACCTCGACGGCTAGCAACGATAGCGGCGATACAGGACCGGAGAACGCTCGCTCCGGCCGAACCGACCGATCTCAGTGAGTATCTTCTTCATAAATATAATTTTTAATGAAACTTTGGAATGTGTATAGAAAACTAGTACATAAAAATAAGATTAATAAACATCGAGTAGTCCGTTAATATACTCACAAACAGTGATTCGTATCTAATCTATCGTCACTAAGAAGAGACGCACTAATACGTGGGCAGTTAAATAAGTTAGTGACTTTTTAAGAGAAGCCTATATTAAAAAATAAGTCGAATTTTGATTTAAAAGAAGTAAAAAAAAATCACTGATCTATCATACTACTCATATATAATTTCAATCATTTTTTTATATACACTGTTAAATTTATAACTGTTAAATTCATATCAAATTACACCTAATTTGAGTTTATTTTTAATTATTTCTATAGGTTGGTATCGCGCCTACTCAATATATTATCAATTTGACTAAAACAATGAAATTAAACAATTCAATTCAAGAAAATGTATATTAAATTTGATTCGAATTTAGTTTATTGTTTACTAAATGCATACGTTAATATGGATATTTATTCTAAAACTAATCACAGAATAGATTGATTTACATTTTAATAAAAATTAAAAATAATGAAATATTATTCAACTTAAGAGATTGAATTATGAGATTGAGTTAAGAGATTGTTCCTTTGATATCTAATAGTGTATATTATATGCATTTAATGAACAATAAATTAAATTCGAATCAAATTTAATATACACTTTCTTCCTCGCAACCACGAACCATCTAAACGCAACGCCACGTTAGACATAATAAGAAATACTGGCTATTTTACGGTCCGTGCCGCGATTTATTAGGTGAAGTATCCTTACGCTCGATTCACATGTCGGCAAAGCACCGACGGCTATATGAATCGAGCGTAAGGATACTTCAGCCAATAAATTGTGGCACGAACCGTAAAATAGCCATAGTATTTCTTACGATTATGTCTAACGTGGTGTTGCGTTTAGGTGATTGTTGCGAGGAAGAAATAGATATATATTATTAGATATCAAAAGAGCAATAGTAACCAACCCAATCTCTTGATAATGTTTCGTTATTTTTAATTTCCATGTACATTAAAATGTAAATCAATCCAGTCTCTGATTCCTAGCACGTTTATAGGTGATAAAGCACGAAAGAGTTACTGTATTTTCGCCTTAAACGTCATGAATATAGGAAGATCTTTTCAGAGAATAAACTGAAACGATTTTAAAACAATTTTTTGTGGTGTTAGACATATTTGAAGAAGGTAATTTGACTTCATCAGGAATAAATTTTTGTTTGTATGACATATCTCATTTATTACATAATACAGTTCAATTATTTGGTAACGGTTGAAAGCGGAGATTTAATTTGCTATATAAACGAGTTATCACGCTGTTAAATGTTTAATTAATAATTCATATTGCGGAATTATACGCGCTTAAGTAATGTGGTCGATAAGCGCACTGTACTTTACCGAATTATATTAATTAATATAAATTGTTAATTGTAATTAATAAATTATCTGTGCGACATAATAATATTGTTCTTCGCGATAATAAGCTACTATCAAAAATTGTCAGTAACATTTTAATTTACATCATCATATACAGTCAATGATTCCTGCCTTAGAAATTAATGAAATAATATTTGATTTTTGTCAAATAATATCGTTTCAAAAAATGAAATGTTAAAGTATAATTGTATTCACATAATATAAAAATCAAGAAATATTAGAATAAAGTGTTATTAAACAAATAAGTTATTCCATTTAATTGATACCATTATTCATAAATTAACAAAAATAAAGGAAGGCTTTTTTCGAGTGAAAAACTGAATATCACTTATTAAAAGTTGCACTTAAATCATAATTTAAAAAATCATATATTTTGACTATTTAATGTGGCTGTCTTTAATGATACGAATATGCAATCAAAAGACTATTACAAATTAAACCTCGCACTACATAAAACGTTATACCTTCTTCAAATTTTACATTCATTAGTGATTTGTAATTTTTTGAATTGCTTAGTCACGTACATTGAATTATAACATAATTGTAGTCTTATCATCTTATCATTGTTACAATCTTCCGTGAATTTCACGGAACAAATTCCTTTCTCAAGAATTATGATTCACCAATCACTGTTTTAATTTGTAATGGTCTTAATTGATAATTACATCATTGAAGAAGTGATCACATTAAATGATCAAAATGCATTTAATTTTTAAAATTATGTGTGCGTGATTTGAATGTTAATTTTAATAGCACATGACGCCCATCTTGATTCGAATAGCTCTCCTTTATTTTCGTCAATTTATGAATTTATATTAATTAAAGTCTGATTTATAATTTTTTAAAATTACATTCATCGATATTTTAAATTCTCAATTTTAAAAAAAGATAAGGAAACTAGAATTGATTATATCCTCTTTGTCAATGAGACAGATGTCAGTATCACACCACGGGTCTATAATAACCACTACATCAACGTGTTAAGCGTGTCCGCAGTATTATTCGCCTGCCAGATACGTTTACGGAATCTTTAGACTCGTTGACACGTCACCGAGGTATCCCTTAGTCGCGTAACACCGGATTTCCTGATCGTGATCCGCGGCTCTAGAACAAACACCCTCATTTCCACGTGTCATTCGCAGTTTCTGGCACCGATCTTCCTCGCTGAATTCGCGTCAAAGAACAGTTGGATCGAGAGAGTCAGCGCAAAAGATGAATTCCAGAAGATATGAGTTCTCGCACGATTTCAGAAAACCCGGGCCACTCCCGAAGACTGTTCTCTCTCAATTTTGTTAGAATATTTTCTCGATAGAGCGGGTCTTGAAGCAAATTAAATATATCATATGACTTTCAAAAATTATGTTTTACAAACTTATATTATGGGTTTCTGCGATTACTTGATAATTTTAAAAGAACAAAAAATAAGATCCAAGCCTGAATGATAGAACATTATAAATGCGAGACGAAAAGGCGATATCCTTCGTCTCTCGTTGTCGCCCGGCTTCTGACACAGGAACAAGCTAGTGAGAGGGTTGGGACTTCAACCTCGTAAGGTTAATAGAGTGATCGGTAACAAGGTTATAAAGCAATCTGCATAACCCTGTCCAGTACTTTACCCGACCTACGGGTTTCATATTACTGCGAGCGGTGTCGTAATTACTGTCTCTAATGCGATTACCGGATCGACAAGACCGGTAACCGAGGGACTCTGTGAGATCTTTTTCTGGTTTTTAATTGCTCCGTTTTTTTCTTCATAATTACTTCTCTCTCTTTTGTCTCAATAAAATCTTTAGCAAAATATAAGATATAAAGAAAGAGGTTAACGTATATGTCTTTTGACTTTAGGGTTCCTTTTTCGAAATGAATTTAAAAAAAAATGATTTGATTTTTCCTTTAATCAAATTTTATTCAATTTAAATCCATAACAATTAAATTAAAAAAGAAGAAATGAAATACATGAAAGAAATTAAAAACTGTGATGAATATTGTTTGTTTTTTCTTTGTCAGCAATATTGGAATTTAAAGAAGATAGTTAAAATAGTTTTATCAGAGGAAAAGTAAAGAATTTAAAAAACTGTGTAGAATTTTGTTTCCGAGGAAATGAAATATGAGAATTGATAACTTTAGCTAGATTATTTTTACTATATTTTTTTAAATTAGAACCTACGTAAAATTTATCGGAATGTCTCACGCTTTATTCGCGACTCCTTTAAACGGCAGAGGCGTTAAGAAAGAACCGATAGGATAGCGGTAAATTCATTTACGCACGATCGAAGACGTAATTTTATTTCCAGAGTTCCGTCTCTGATCTCGTCTCGTCTGAAGTCTCGTTTCACGGCTATCCGAGTTTGATTTACATCCGATCCCTTCCTCGCATTACGATACGCGATGGAAGAAACGTAACGCATTGCCTGGACTCGAATCGCCTCTAATTTTGCGAGCAACCAGGCGCGAGCTAAATTGAAATTTATCTATGAAACGATACGAGATACATCGTAAACGAGAGTATAATGCGTCTTTTCCTCATGCACGATTCTTTCAATCCTTTCAGATCCCTTCAATCTTCGACTCTCAGAGAGTATTGTCAGTTAATAATTCTAAGGATATTTCATTTTCTTTTAATTTAGTACTTAAATACAGATATTATTTTGTAAGAAATAAAATAAAATAGGCCAGTATTTATTACGATGTGAAGTTATATTTGTTGCAAAAAAGATTTGATATTGATCTTCATGTTTTATAATAAAATTTATTTATACTAAATTCCGACTAATTTTTATAGTATTGTACTAATGTAGGATTTACTACAATTTTTATTTATATAAAATTCTGCATTTGTTTAAAATTGCTCATTATAATTGAAATATTAATATTATAAATATAATAAAGAACGCCAATAATACAATAGATCAAAGTTAGATGATATGAATACAATATATATTCTCAATTTAAATTTAATTATCTTAGATGTGATTGTGCGCCGAAACATTCGGACATCCTGACTGAGATAATATTTTTCACAATAAATTCTTTACCGAATTAATTTAGAGAGGATTATTTCATTATATAGAAATGTCCGAATGTTTCGGCGCACAATCATTTGAGATAATTAAATTTAAATTAAGAATATATATTGTATTCTAACTTTGACCAATTATTGGCATTCTTCATCATATTTATGTATATCATTTACACGGTCGTATTTATTCTTAAAATATTATTACAAGGTGATAGACATAATTTAAATGTATAATCTTCCTTTATATCTATAAAATTGTTATATCTATGAATTTATTTATTGGATTACTTCGATACAATAAAATATGTGCACAATGAGTGTCTTCAAAAAAACAGTAATACTTATCGCTGATTAAAATAGATTAATTAACTATAAGCTGCAGCAAATGTACATTTAATCTCTTTATCAATATGTAATTCTGTACAATAATTATATAGAATGTTTCAAAAATTACTCTTGCAAATGTTTTAAATAATTTCGAAGAAATTTCTTAGAA